AATGAAAACATACCATACCAGCAGTGAAAATTTAACGTATTAAGATTTTTCGTCCTAGTGAGGAAATTCCTAAAGCATAAAGCCATTTCTTCCTCACTCCATCCTTCATCGAAAACTTTGTCTTTCACTCCCAGACACTCCTGGGTGAGCCACAAGGATTGAATTGAATTGAATTGAAACAGTTTATTTAGCCAGAAAAACACAGATACAGAGTGGATAATAATAGCAATATTAACATGGCTGAGCCCGTTGAGAACCTGAGCTCTCTTTTAGGCACCTGATATATACTCTACATTTATCTCAAGGAAGTATTATGTAACATTTAGTAACATCTGGAATAGCACAATAGCATGGTGGTAATAGAACATCTCATAATGTTACCCCGGTTATCATTTCAATATTTATTTATTCAATTTATTTAGTATATATTTTTTAGTTTATTTTTTTATTCATATTATAAGTATACTATACATAAATTACAGTGGAATTGAAAAACTTAAGTATAATGGGGGAGCAGTACAACATGGGTTGCACAGTATTAAGGTTGAACAAGAGGACAGAGCTGTCAGGCAACATAGTGATGAGCGATGAGTGGGCCAAAAGAGTGATTGGTGATGAGTGAGTCACAAGGGTGATCAGTGAGCCACAAGGCCACATACTGATGGGTGATGGGTGTTGGGTGAGCCACAAGAGTGATGGATGTTGGGTGAGCCACAAGGCCACATGGTGACGGATGGCAGGGAGGTGGTATCATTGTGACGTAGAAGACAGGAGACAGCTGGTTAGTGGTGGAGTGGCAGCGGCGACACAACTCAACCCTACCACACCTGACACCCATTTCCCTCCGCTTCCCATACTGGTGCAGGCTGCCTCACACACTTGTATACTGTATAATGTAGAATAATAAATCCTTATTTTCCATACATTGCAATTACATCTTGCTATAATCACATACCAGTTATGTGATAATACTAGCATTTGTACGGACCAATGTTGCTTTTCTGGCTTGCTGTTACACCTCTCTCTCTCTCTCTCTCTCTCTCTCTCTCTCTCTCTCTCTCTCTCTCTCTCTCTATATATATATATATATATATATATATATATATATATATATATATATATATATATATATATATATATACAGTAAAACCTCGATTAACCGACCACATATGGGGGGGAGGGGCCGACGAATAATCGAAAAGGTCGGTTAATAGTACATAAAGTCTACGGAAATAAAACATACATTTCAAAGTACATTTCCCTTACCTACCTCATTTAAGTCCCTCTATTCATTTTTGTTCATTTGCCATTCATATTTCAATAGAATTTGCTTTAAAACATTAACCACTTAAGTAAATAAATGTGAACCAGTACATAAACCGTAAATAAAAAATGGAAGTCAAAGAACATGTCATCACAAAAATTGTGACCAAGTCCCAGTTGCTGATCTGACTTTCTGCCTCATTTACACACAATTGCAGGGTCTCAATTTCTTCTCTTACTATTGACAACACAACATAAATACAGGTAAATTTTCTCACTCCTGATTTTTTTTTCAATTTTGCATTTCTTTATGGTTCTTTATTACTATTATTATTATTATTATTATTATTATTATTATTATTATTATTATTATTAGCATTATCATTATTAATATTATTACATTATCGCCCCCCAGGCCCCGATGGGGGTCAGTGACCTGTGCCCGGGTGGGCTAATCCCCGTAATTTTTTTTTTTAGAGGTTCGAGATTGACGGTTAATCCGAAAGTCGGTTAATATATATATATATATATATATATATATATATATATATATATATATATATATATATATATATATATATATATATATATATATATACTGTAGACAGGTAGGCACACCCAATAAACATGACATGACTTACAGCCTAACATAATGTTTGTTTATGTCTTCATACTCAGTACCGCTTGCGGTAACACCACATATGACCATAAGAATCTCTTAGTATTACTATTTCACAAAAATTTATCTCAAATTCCTTTACAACTAAAAACCTGGAACGTCAAAGTGGCATTTAAAAACTCATGCACTGTAAAACAAATGTTAATCAAGAACTCCCCCAACAATACAGGTGGCTGCATTTACAAGGTTCCTTGCAAGGAATGTAATATGTTTTACTTAGGCCAGACAGGTAAAGATCTTGTAACTAGACTTAAACAAAATAAAATAGTGTTAGGACAGGTCAGGAATCCAATGCTCTGTTTGTTCATTTGAGAGAAAATAAGCATTGCATTGATTGGGATAATGCCTCCTCAATATTACCTTATAATTCAATTGACAGTAGGAACATTATAGAATCCAGTCTCATTAAATATACCGCATCCGTCAACACCAATTTGAGTAATGGTATGTACAAACTGGATAATTTCGTAATTAAGAAGATTTGTAACCAAGTGAGAAGGTTGGGTCATCTTACCCTCTGACCTGACTACCGACTGCTGCGGTGCTTATGAAGATTAGTAGGGTCACTGCCTAGTGACCGGACCATTGTGGACACTCACTGTGTAGGGCTTGTTTGAATGAAGTAGGCCATGTTAGAATTGAGTAGGATTGTGGGGTTTCGTGATGTTGTCTCACACTCAGGATGGGTTGGAGAAAGGAAACTCACAATGTGCTCTCTGTATACATATTGTATTGGATCTACAGTGCAGCTTGGTGCTGGGAAGTGGCAGCGTGGTAGTTAGAAGAAGGGCAGCTCAGGGCGAGGTGAGGTCTTCTATAGCGGGGGTAGGCGTGGCTTGATAGTTGACCTCCGCTTTGTTAGGCGGCACTAGAGGCCGACCTTAGACCACGAGGCGTTGGCTGGGGAATTCGAAGAGGGGTCGGCTAGTCAGCGACAAACGGCACTTGTAGTTGTAGGGGAGATATCCATGTTCTAGGCCTGTTAACTGTAAGGTTCTGTCGAAGTTAACTAGGCTGGAATGTTTATATTTTATTGGGTATTAGTAACAAAACCCAAGTTGTCTGTTATCCATTTATTCAGGAACAACTAAGACAATTCCAAAGTGTAAATCAACCTTACCTTATCACTGTAACTATGAGTGTTAAGAGAAGGACGGAGGCTATGTAAATAGACCTGCTTAAAGACGTCCTTTCTATGTGAGGTGTTGAGGGAGAGTTCTATGAGTAGTGACTTCTATCAAGGGAGAACGGAATAGGCTCGTTTCCCTCCCTTGAGGGAAGATGGAGCCATCCACGAGGGCTCTCAAGTAACATTTTCCTCTCGTGAGTACTAACAAACTACTGCCCGCTTGGGGTGCCCAGAAAGCCGGCTACAAATGCCTTTACCTCAGCATAAAATGACGCTGCATCCCATAGGCCCACCCTATCACGTGCACAGACCATGTCACCCCATAGCTAGTGGAAAGTTACAGGTAATGAATCAGTATATAAATCAAATGTAATTAACCCATTTATATAATTCTTCTGTTTATGAAACAGGGGCCATTACATCCACTACAGGATCTTTGAGTATTAAATAGAGCATTAAAATAATGATTAGTGTTATAATTAAATGAGACCTATTAAAATAGTGTACTAATGTTTAAGAGGGAATAAAGCAACGTTTATCAACAGTTAAAGATAAGCAGGCATATGATACATTTCCGGCAGAGGCAGGAGAGTAGAGGTCTGGGATTCCCAGATTCATAAGTTATTTATCATCTTCAGGCTTAACAGATTAGAAAAATACCCTGCCATATTTGTGTCATACGTGAATTTAACCAGCAAATTGCATTTTCAAATCTATGGGCGTGGCCAAGGGTGCCTAAAGTTCCATTGATCCCGAGATGCCTTAAGTTCAGTTGATCCCCGGAGTGCTTCAAGTTCAGTTGATTTTCTGGGATGCCTAAAGTTCAATTGATCCGCTGGGGTGCTTATAGTTCAGTTGATCTCTTAGGGTGTCTAAAATTCAATTGATCCCAGGGTGCCTAATGTTCAGTTAATCCCTGTGGGGCGCCTAACGTTCAGTTGATCCCACGGGGTGCCTAAAATCCAGTTGATTCCTTATGGATTTAAAAGTTCACTCAGTTTCTCGCAGAATGCCAAACAACGATCAATTGAGCCTCCGGGTGCCAAAAGTTTAGTTGATTCTAAGGGTGCGTTAACGTTTAAGTTCTTTTCAGACTTTTTTTTTGTAATCGTATTCATAAATGTGTCATGTAAGCAGGTTGATAAATAAATACTAGTGTTTTAATCCATTAAATGAGCCCTAAATTATAAATACACAAGGAAGTTGGGAAGAATATTTTTCACAAATGTTCTGCACTATAAGAATATTTGAAAGGTCATTGATCTTTGTCATTTAACTTGGTTTGCCTTCCATTGCTGTTACATAGAGTAAAATCATATAATGCTAATTATAGTTTAATCTGACAAAAATACTAGATGAGGAAACCTAGAATCCCGTTTTTAGGCAATGGACCATATACTGTATATGTAAAATAAGATGTTGTCTTCATCAACAAGTATCATATAATTGAAGGACTGGAAGGTTTTCTTTTCTTTGAAAGTGAGAAAGAGCGAGCATAGGTTAGGTCCCAGAAAGGAAGGATATGACGATATGTGACACAAACATTTCCGCTCCCCGCTGATAACACCGTTTTCTCTTAAGACTATCATACACATTTTCTATAACGCCCTATTAAGTATATAGAACAAAATCGTATGTAGATTTCCAGATTATTTACTCATATTTTAAATCTGTACATTATATACAGATTTTACAAATTTCTACTAATTATCGTCCTAAATCTTAAAAAGTCCTCTCAGTGATTTATTGTTACCATCATAATACAATATTTAAACAATAGAAATATATCTGAAAATTAATAAACTTAGTCATATAAACAGGTTAATGACATCAGCCTACAACATAATACAAGTTTATAATACAGTTAAACAAATGCATCAAGTGAGTGAGAGGAACAAGTTGTCCCGGGATGTTTTGAAGTAGTCAGCCAGACAGCCGAGCGCGGCGCTGTTATCAGTTGTGTCTGGTTGATTATTTTGGTTCTTGGGGTGAGGGCTGAAGTCGTGATATATGATTTCAAAGTGACTTAACCCTAGCCAAATGTGATTTATAGGCTAAGTGCAGAAACTCATGTAGGCCATATGTAAGGTTTCATAAGGTAGCCACAGGTGTTCAAGCTTTCTGGGTGGGAGGGAGAGAGAGATAGTAGTGGCTCCCTGAACTTTGATCTGGTCGGAAGGCATTCCAACAAGGTAAACCAACGATTTGATTGATTATACCTTAATGGCCACTGACATGGCTATTCCAGGTATGCATTGTGGTTAATTTTATACCAATGAAATGTTAGACAAAGGCTCATATTGATTAATATAATGTACAACTTGAAAGCAAGTTTCCTACATGCATCTACAAATACTGAACAGTCATTGTATAGTCAGAATAAATATAATGGCTATGTAAAATACATCAAACGTTGCAATATACAAAACTCCATAGTATTTTATTTCATCTCATACGAAATTGAGAAGTTAATTTATACTGCATGTAGTAGAGTAGGAGAATTAGAAGTAGAGTACATTTAATTCATGTTCTTGTACCAAGTGAAATAATACTTAATATATCTTTGGTAAGTAGATGATTTAAGCCTGCCTCAGCTTTTTATGATTATTTTTACAATTTTATAATGTAATTTTATGTACTTTAATTATTTCGCAGTGGATACAGGTACGGAAGCCGTGCACAAAAAATCTGACTAGATACAGATACAGCAGCCGTATTGACAGACTGTGTTGTTAATGGTTAGGTTAAATTAGGGGTAAAATTTCACTTGTTGCCACCCAAAGAATATTGGGAATTTCATGGTTGCAGTCAATAGTTTAGACAATTCTTAAGACACTTTTCGTCTATAACGTTTCTTTCGCAAATGACCTAACCTAACTTGGGTCTCCATCCCCCCCCCCCCTCCGGCATATGTAAGTCGTTTCGAGGGAAATATCAATGTATAAAGTGCCTTAGAATTTTTTAAACTATTGATTGCAATCATAAAATTCTCAAAATTCTTTGGGTGGTAACAAGTGCAATAATACAAAGTTAGGTTGGGTTGGGTTGGGTTGGGTTTGGTTAGGTTACTCAGAAGGCCATCTTAGTAACTCATTTTCTAGTCTGCCCACCACACACATATGCATTAGGCTGCCATACCAATAGCCATCAACTTTTTGCATACAGCTGCTGTACCTACGTATATCCTGTGCCAAAAACTAACCTAATGTTTTTTTTTTAATATCTTGCCTTATTTTATATCAAATTGTTCAAAAAGAAACTAACCTCGACTAATCAGAGTGAAAGCCTGACAAACAGCGGAAGTAAGTAAGGATAAGGATACGTGATGGGAAAAATATAAACTCCAGATAATAAAATTTTAGAACTCGTTGAAGGTTATTGGTGATTACTCTTGCCAACCAAAATGGCACATCAGGCCTGGTTAAAACTATTTTTTTTAAATGTTAATGCTCGTCAGTGTTACTATATATCCATTTGTACAAACTTTCATACTTGTATTTGTGTGTGGTATTCTGACTTTTTAATTCTATGGAGCAGGATTAATTCATATGCAGTATTTACTGTACCATATCTTTATTTAGGTACAGTATTCATAAGGCGGGACAAATTTATTTCAGGTACAGTATTCATAAAGCCCGACAACCTTATTTCAGTTAAGGTAGAGCAGACGGTTAGCACCAGAAATAATTTATGGATTGAATCAAAATTTCTGGAGATAGTATTTGCATGATACTCAACGCAAAAATGGAAATGAGAATGTATAGAACCTTATCTAACCAACCTTATCTAACCAACCTAACCTAAGAAACCTACCTAACCTTACCTGACCAAAGAAATCTACCTAACTTCCTAGCCGGGGGACTCCGCCCCCTGGACCCCTTGGCTTATTAATCGGAAAGAACTTAATTTGATATCTGGTACTAGTGGAAGCAACTACTGTATCCTAAAGTGGCATGGTGAATTTTTTCTTTTTCATTGTTTTTTTACGTCGGAGTACTAACGCCTATGGCAGTGAAACATATTTCTTCTTCAATGTCAATTCTCTGCTGCATTTTGAAAACTTTTACAATCAAAGACAAAAGTTGTGTCGCGGTTTTGGCCGAAGATTAAATATAACTCGTGAAACTTTATGAGAGCCCGGGCCTACCACAAGGCAGAGCACACCACAAGTTTAGCCTTTCAGCATATGTTTTCACCAAATTTCACGACACAACATTTGTCTGTCATTGTACATCTTGCCTACTAGTCAATGTTGGCAGATGAACTCTTGGAAGCAGTCTTCATCCTCGAAGAATACAGATAACTTGTGATACTATACCGAACACGATGTGATACGGACGCCATTGAAAAACAATATGGCTTCTCCCTCAGTCCTGCTCCTTGAAGAACAAAAAGTATGCAAACATACAATTCACTTAGTAAGCAATGCTACTTGTAAGGTATTGAAAATGAATAAAATTCCATAATATGGGTTTCGTTCCCCAAAATCTGATCATCATATAAAAATTGAATAGGTTTAAGAACCTATTGCGTGGAAAGAAAAAAAGGGATTTGTGCAGGTCATAGACACATGACTGGATAATGAAGGCAAAAAAAAAAAGAAGATATTCAAGCCCATATTTATGGTACGTAGTACTAAAACCCCTGATATGAGGCTCCATCGTTTATTGATGATTTACGAGACTGGAATCGGAATTTATTTGTTTATGATTCAACGACAATTCATGTCGGCAGAATATTAACAGTATAAAGCACATAGATACTTGATTTAAGTGTCATAATAATTTTTTTTTTTTTTACTGTGGTTTTACCCTGCAATTTCCCTCATACTTCATGTCCTGCTCACTATGGGTGATATATGATCGTAGATAGAGAAAAGGAAAACAAACTTGTATTTAAAATAAAAAGTTGCCGTATCAAATTTATTAGTTAATACCTGTAGTGGTATCATCCAGTGAACTGGAAAATATGAATGAAATCTCTAAATGCGTTCGGGTGCTAACCACCTGCCCCTCATATACCCTTGGAGTATTTCCGTAATGTCATTGTTATGCAGTACAGTACAGTATATGTAAATACTGTATATACTTTGCATATTTTCGTATTTGTTCGGATTTGTGTGATTATGCTACCATATTGAAATGAGGTGAATTGGTTATGCTTGAAACATTAGGCTGAAGCTAATTGTATGGACAAATCTTGTCACATATCGTGATGGCTGAGAATTGAATGATTCTTGAGAAAAATAACTTTAATTTAGTCAATTTGACCAAGGACAGCTGACAAAGCTATGAGAGGCTTGTTTCCAGTAGAGCCTTAATGTCAGCAGCATCTGGAGTTCTTAAGGCCAGGCTGTACTGTACTAGCCAAACCCAGTGTTGCTTAACTTCGCTTAACTTAATCAAGGGAGAAACAAGGTATTGAGCATAATTCCTCAGCTGTCGGTGAAACACTTAATAAGTATACTGTATCTGGCATCTTGTATAATAACTTATGATTTCATCCCACCCTGTAGAGCTAAATAATTACCTTGTAGAAACACTTAGGGAAAAATACTATGCATAAACATATGTATGAAAGTTTTTGCTAATGGACATTAACTAATACTGATGATCATTGACTAAATATCAATTACTATTACACTATACTACTATAATCTTGGTTGTCACCAAGCACTAGCCAATGAAGGTTGAGGTTCTGAAATTCAGGTATTTCAGCCGATCAATGGTGATACAGTATGTCTCATCTTTCCCACTCAGTTGCATCCAGCCTCAATCCTGAATGTGATTATGTGTGTGACATTTTTGTGACTATTCTTTAATCTTTTTCAGTCATTATTAAATTAAGCAAACTTTGAACAATGCTGCAGTCCAGTTGACATTTTTGTGAACCAAGTTATATTTTGCCCCAGTTTTCACACTACAGGCATTATTAATCAGTCTGAGGGTTGATGGCCACAGTCCTCCACTCTAAACGTTTTCAGGCTGTTTTTACTGTACCAATCCTCCAAGATTTTGTATCTCTCTGGGGACCCAGTTTTTAATTTCATTCAACCATCCAATTCTCTGCTTTCCCCTGGTCCTCCTGGCCTCAACTTTGCCCATAAATATTTCTGTTAATAACCCCTTCATCCTGAAATATATGACTAAAGTATTAATTTTTCTTTTTCTGCACATTTTGATGTATTTCTTGAAGTTTATGCTTATCTTCGTACTTCATTTGTTTTCTTGTCAGTGTTGCTTATTCTTAAAATTCGCCCATAACACTACATTTCAAAGGTCAACAACCTCTTTCTGGTGTCTGCTGAGTGTCCAATCATCTGACCCATACAATAGTTCTTGCCATATAAAGCCTTTCAGCAGCCTTTTTCTCAAATTGGTGTTAATGTCCCTATTCATTTGGTCTTTTAAATTATTCTTTTTTAAAAAAAATTTCCCATACATCTACCATCAGTTAATTCTATTTCCCAAATACAAAATCTTTTCCATTTGTTTAAGTTCCCTGTTGCCTACCATAATTTTCATTTCAGGATTTATTTTTAATTTGGAAACAACCCTTATGTACTTTCGTCTTTACAGCATTAACTCTTAATACTGTTCACTTTATTTCAAATCTCGTCCAATTTCTCGTAAGTACAGTACTGTACAGTTTTAAGATTATTACTGATTTCACTTATTACATTTACAGTATTATTGGCTCATGATCATTGTGTACCTGGTATTCCAAATTTTTTAATTAAGATGAGGTTTGGGAAAATTTCTTCCAATTTATGTAAAACTGATTTCCGAATTTTTTTTTAGGAAAGAAACCCTTTCGTAAATCAGGGGATGTTTTTATTAACAAACAAACTAACCAGTTAGGATGAACACTTGTCAACCGTGAGAAAGACTGCACAAGCATATTTTTTCTGTTTGTCAGAGGATATTTGTGTTGTAGTGTACTAGTACATAACAATAATTTGAGATTGTATTTATTTTTTTACTAATTACAGTACATTCTTTTTGCAGGTTTTGACACACTCAAGATATGACAGAAGAAGATGAAATCACACTTCTTTAGGAAGTTTGGCAAAATTTGAAACTTAATGCAGCAGTGAACAGATTGGACAGTTTTAGTGGAGTGTGATTCAATGGAAACTTTTTAAGTGAACACTACTGAAGTGACTTAAAAGTTTGTATATACTGTATACAATACAGTAGACATAAATATACTGGTACTGTAACTGTATGCAGTATATATAGTAGTATACAATATTGTAGCTACTGTACTGAATATTATGCAGTAGTGTACAGTAATGTGTTTAAACATCATTGTGAAGATCATATCAGCAGTATAATGCTTGGAAATTGCTGAACATTTATATCAGTTACAGAAATGTAATATTTAGTATACAGGTATTGTGTGAGTGTTTGTTGTCTCCAGATTGATATGCAAAACATTGCCAACCCATTTCATAGTTTATGTACATGTGCTGTTTATTATGCATCAGAAATATCAAGAGTAACATTTGAAAACTAGAATACATGCTTGTATTTTGAAACACTCTGAATACCAAGTAAGACCTAGTTCAATAAAAATATGTGCCTGTGACACTTATAAGCATTGTATTAAACTCAGCAAAGCTTATGTCTGATAGCTTTCAGTGGTTTGCATAATACTTTACTGAAACATAGAGATCAATCAGACCCACAGCAATCATGCAGGCAACATCAGAGACTGTGTATATATATGTGGCTCGTCAGAGTTATAGAGGGTCAGGAAATAATGACCCGAGTATGGAAGTGGATGATATAATACACGTGTCGTCAGAGTTTCTACACCGACAGAATATCAACAAAGACAAGCCAGATGGATGGCTCTATGGCGTCAATATGCGTACTGGCCAAGAAGGCTACTTCCCAGGTGAGTTCTTTTTAACAAGTAACTTATTAAAGATTGTTGAATCTAAAGAAAAACTAAGAATCAATAAACTTAACTTCAGTATACATAACATCCTATTAAACACAACTCTTTTGTTTTTTTACTGTGATATTAACCACAGAAATATCTGTAACTGGTACAGTACTGTCACACTATGACGCTGTAACCGGTGACGACAACCGCCACTACAAAGAATATCAATCCCTGACTCGATCTCAACAGCTTATATACATGAGACTGCACCTAGGGTACAGGTACCTATGGGAGTACATTGGCAACCCTGAGCCTCACCGCACTGTTTGTAAACTTTGTGGCCAACCCGACTCTCACACCCTCTCTCACTACATCCTCACTTGCCCTATGACCTCCTCCTACAGGTCCCCAGCCGTTACCAACACCTCTTCCCTCCCAGACCAGATATCCCTCCTCCTAGTCACAGGCCTGGCATTTGACATTATTAGGGACCTGCCACTCTTTGCCATAAACAGATAAAATGTACCAGGAACTTTCCCCCCACACACTCATCATTCTCTCACTTTATGTAACTTGACAAAATCTATGACCCTTCAGGCTTTTACGCCTTTAATGTACGAGTCATAAAGGCAAGTATGAACTTTTCATACTTCCCTGTTGGGCGCTGTAAACGCTTCTGCGCTTCACCTTGCACAGGATGTAAGGGGGTGCCCAATAAACAAGCCCCCTCGGGGGCAAATCTGAAATCTGGTACAGTACTGTATGTGAATGTCAACACAACACAATACTGTACTGTACCATCCTGGCTCCCACCTTATTACTGACACCTTCATGACAGTGTCCACATTGCTGTACTGTTGGTGATGTGACCTAAGATAAAATTTAGGGGAGCACAAGGTTGTGGAGGTACTGTTTTCCTCATAAGGTAACACAACAGAGCCCTGACACAGGCTTTTAATAATATAATAATATGAGAGCTTGTCAAATTATTCATGATTTACAGGTTAACTTTTGGCAGACTGACTTTTGAGCACAATCTAACTTTGGTATGCTTCAGACAGCTCTTAGACAGTTACAGCAAGCAAAGCTTTCTTTGTATCGAAATATTGGCTTAACTATGTACAGGTATGGTAGTTTTCATATGTGAGTATAATTTTCTAGTATAATGTGTAAATACAGTAATAAATAGAAGTCATTAAAATCTATTTTCCCCCAAATTTCTTATGCTGCAAAACTTTCTCTGGCAGGAGCATAGTATATCAGAGTACATAGAGCAGCGATTTTCAACCAATGTGCTGTAGGTGTGCCGCGGGAGTTTAAATAACATTTGGAGAGCATTTAAAAAATAGTATTTGGATACATTTTGACATTACTGGTACTTTTATGGATCGCATTAAACTCCTTTTTTTTTCAATGCTGCAATAAATAAACAAATGTGTTGTTCATTAAAAGCCCAAATGGCAGTTTTAAATTCTCTCCTTAATTCCGTAGTGTAGATCTGCCGATCAAATCTATCCTTAAATACTGATGGTGTGCGTCGACCATTTTAGCGCCTGGCTCACTGTGCCGTGAGATGAAAAAGGTTGAAAATCACTGACATAGAGTAATGTAACTATAGTGAAAGAAATTCGAAACTTGTCTAATTTGAAAATGTGACTTGAATGGAAGTACAATACTGTATGTGAAAATTGTCTTTAACTCATGGTGACTTCGGAGAGCTCAAGGTTGCGTGATATAAAATTTTTACGGTAATGGCATTATGCATGGTACTGATAATGAAATAATTTTGAAAAATTTGTAATCTACAGCTTAGGGGGCGAAACAAGAACATGCATATTGTGTACAGGTGCTTTGTTAAATTTGTTTTGCTGTAAAATACAGTAGGCTAGCATGTTATTTTCACATGATACAAATTTCTTGAAAAATTTTCCCTTCACTCTTCTTCCCCTTTTGACCAATACGGTGCAGTACAGTATACTCTCAATTTAACAGAATCCAACATAACAAACTCTCGATTTGGCGGAAATAATTTTTCAGTTATTTTTTGCTCGATTTAGTGAACTACTGTAGTTCGCTAAATCAAGATTAAATACGTTAATACACTTACGGAGACATCTCAGACTCATGATATGTACATAGAAACATTAGAAACATTATTCATGGCTTACCTTAAACTCGGGGGTTTGGTATTTGTTTTAAATTTTTTCTATTATTTCCAAACTTTTTTCCAATTGATAGCTGCACTCTTTTGATTTTCTCCCCCACACCACTTCCTTTCTGAGACTTCTGAGAGACTTTCTGCATGATGTCTAAGCACAGTAATTTGTAGACCGAGAGGTGGCAGTGAACAACACACGTGGTGGCGGCAGGACACAGACTGAACGGATGTAAACAAACCCCATGCACCAAGTGGCAGAATTTAACGAACTCACGCTCGATTTGAGGAACTAGTTTGCTAAATTGAGCGAAAATAATGGAAATCGATTTAGCGGATATTTTGATTTATTGGAAAGTGGTGCCTTAACGTAGTTTGTTAAATCGAGAAAATACTGTATACAGTCTCCTCGACTTATGGCGGGGTTCCGTCCCGACGACCAGGTCGTAAGGCGAAAATAATGCATAGAAATTCTAAAATGGGTGTCTCTTTTTCTTCTCAGCACCACGAGAACTCTCACTTTTACGCTTGCCAGCCATTTGAAAGGGAATTACAAACGAAAATTTTGTCAGTACACAGCTCGAGCACTAACGTCGGGACTTGAAAATACGTAATTCGAAAAATATTTATACGACCATGGGGGTCGTATGTCCGGGTTGTTGTAAGTCGAGGAGTACCTGTATGTAATTTTGGTACTACAGATTTTTGCCCAATATTTTTTCTGATTTCAATGATATTCAAAGTGACCCCCAGACTGTCTGGTCAGGCTCTTAGCAGGTACAGCCATTGAATTAACACTGTTGTCCAAAGTCACCCCATCTCTGGGGTGACTTCAGACACCTATAAATCTTCTCTTCACGTGTGGAGAGCCCATTAGTTCTTGCACCAAAAGCATACTTAACATATGCTTTTAGCTTTCAAACTTAAACTGCTGCTGAAAAAAAACTCAGACACTGTCCGAAGTGTACTTTTTATTTTTTATTTTATCTTCTGATGGAGCAAAGTAGATGCACATGAGTGGCTTCTGAATGGCATTGTTACTGACAAATGACCAATATTCCAGTTAGACTTATGATAGCATGGACAAGAAAAATCGTGAGAATGCATAATTTAGCTGTAATAAAAGGTGAAAATGTGTCCAATACAGACAATCCTCACAATACAAAAGGGATGCAATCTTCAGAATCTTTGTGAAATGTGAAAAATCATATATTAGTACAGTAGTGAAAGAGATTTTTCCATACTATACTACTGTAGTGTTATAACTGTAACATACCTTACACAACCAGAACTAACCAAATTAATAGAAATGACATACTGTATAGTACTACGTACTGTACTTACCAGCACCTCGGTAAGTCACTTCGGACCATCACTAAATGTCTAGTTAAATAAATACAGTACTGTACAATATTGAGTATCATGAATACTGAACATTATACCAGAAAAAAAAATTAAGATATTGCAGGGGATGATTTTGACTCATTTGCAGTACCAGGTACTGTATTGATTATCTCTCCAGAAACTACTCTTGTGTTTCCTTTGCCAGGGCCCCCCACCCAGAGCCTAGCAGGGGGCTAAGGATAGATTTTTGGGATGGGTCTTCCAGTAGTCCCTCAAAGCATACCTACTACTACTTTGCTGTCACTCGGAATCGAGTACAGGTATGATGATCATCCAGCTATGATACAATGATATGAGTTATTAAGGATGTCACCTAGGTTGGTGAGTTCTGAGGTGATTAAAGAGGCCGAAATGGGACCGGCAGGGTCGATCACAGATGTTGCACATGTGGGGGAGGGGGCTACATCTAGTGCGAGAGGGGCGGTGGCAGCGCCTTTCCGGCATTGGTGCTTGTCTGCCTCGTTATGCAGTCGGGCTAACTCGAAAGTATTGACACCTTCTTTTATGGTGCTCCTCCAAGCGTTACGGTGTTGAGTAATCGTCTTGCAGGTGAGGGGGTCGATTTGGCACTTTTTCCGGTTTATCTTAAGACTGTCCTTATACCTTTTCAGTTGCCTGCCAGCATTATGTTTACTATTTGTGAGGTGACTGTAAAGTATCTGCTTTGGCAGTCTTCTGTCGTCCATGCGAGTAACATGGCCAGTCCAGCATAGTTGTTCGTGGATAATGGTAACCTCGATGCTTCTATAGTTGGTGTCAGTAAGAATACTGGCATTTGTTCTCTTGTCTTCCCAGCGAACTCGGAGGATGGAACATAGACTACGTTAATGAAAGTTTTCAAGTGCCTTGATTTGCCTCCTGTATGTGACCCATGTCTTGCTGCCATATAGCAGGGTGGGGAGGACCATTGCTCGATATACGTGTAACTTTGTAGATAATTTCAGCTCCCTACAACTGAAGACACGGTTTCGGAGTCTGCCAAAGGCTTGAGATGCACATCTGATCCGATGCTGAATCTCTTCATCGATGTCCGCGGTGTGGTGGTGGACAGGTGGGAGCCGAGATACCGAAAGTGGGTAACATTAGTGAGTGTAGTACCGTTAAGCTGGATGGATGGTGGTGTGGCTGAACCAGGGACAGGCTGAAAGAGAATCTGAGTATTACGTACATTCATATCAAGGCCGAAGTGTGCATACTCATCTGCATAGATGTTCAGGATCTCCTGTAGGTCGTGTTCAGTGTGAGCGACAAATATGAGGTCATCTGCATATTGAAGCTCAGTAATGGAAGCTGCCGACACCTTTGTTCCTGCCTGGAGTCGTCTTATGTTGAAAAGACTCTTCATCTGGTAGTCGATGTCCACACCGCTGGCTAAATTTGTGGAAAGGAGAGTTGGTGCCAGTACACACCCTTGTTTAACCCCCATTTGGATGGGGAAGAAACTCAGACT